CAGCTGTCCTGGAACTCACTATGTAGACCAGGCTGGCCTTGAACTCACAGAGATCTGCCTGCCTCTGCCTCCCAAGTGCTGGGATTAAAGGCATGCACCACCATGCCCGGCTTAACAGTGTTGGTTTGTAAAGGACCTACCCAGATGGGGGGTCTTATAGCTTAGGGCTCTTAGGAATGTGCTTTTACTTGTATCAGCTGTTGTTGCTTATAAAAAATGTTGAGTAACAGTGATACTTCAAAACTATAGTAAAGACTATAGATAATTATGTAATGTGCCACCCCAGAGCCTGACATCTAGACAAAGTGCAATAAAAATGGCTAACATCATAGTTCTAGACTTTTTCAAGCAAGAATACATTGATCAGAAAAATCAAATTATAAGGAAATTGGGGGACAGGGAAGTAACTAAAGGTAGCTCTGGGAATAAATAGCTGACAGCACCAACTACATAGGGACAAACTATCCAGCTACAGTAGATCAAGGCCACTAACACACACATGAAAATAGCTCTGAGGGTAGCACTAGGGTTCCCACAAGGAGCAATAATGATGTGCCTAAAGATGGCACGGGGCCTTTTAGAACAGATGATACTTTCATTTCATGTGTTTAAAAAGGAGACAGATTAAGCACATAATTGACTGGAAAGAGTCTTAGCAAATATAATTTAGCATCGCAAATTCAATATATTAGATGTCTAACCTTTAATTACATGCACCCTATAACCAGACTGGGAATGTAGCTCAGCTGGAGAGCAATTGCTTCACATATAAGAGGCCCTGAGTTTGATACCACAACCATTTTTCAAAAAGGAACCTCTCAAATTCTTCCAACTAACTATCAAAAAAGATGTTCCAAATAAATTGACTATGAAATTTTGAAAGGAGTGCTCTAAGATATCATCAATTTGTCAATGTCTTCATAACTAAAATGAGGCAACCTCAATGCTAAGTGTTTTTACGTCCACCAGAGACACAAACACATACACGGAAATCCCTTTTTCAGGTGATTTTTTTCTCCCTATGTTTGAAATGCAGTAAAAAGAGAAACACCTGTTTCTTCCTACAGCCCTTTAAAAATAAACCATGTTGAAAAAAACTGATAGATAAAATGCTCACCTGCTTCAAAGGCATCCGGAAATTAATTGACCCAAATAAACGCATAATCAAGGCCAAAAACCTAGTTCTTTAAGGGAAATACCAGTGTTTCCTAAGCCCTTGGTAGTTTCTAAGACACCCATAAAATAGCAGAGGACGGTAAAGATGAAACAGGTGGCAGATGAAAGATTCAACAGTCAATCTGGAGACCCTCTACCACCAGAAAGTGTTCCTATGACCGCTCTCTCAAGAAAATCCAGTTTTACCTCACTTAAAATTCACCCATTATTCATCCAAAGGAAGGTCATATATTCAACCACTAATGGAGTTCAACTAAACCAGAAAAATCTCACCAGCTAAGGCCTTAGATCCTGTAACAGCTTTTCCAAAGTCTTGCTGTATAAATTGCCTAGTGCCACCATCTAGTAATAAGCCAGGGCCTGCAGAGGTGACTCAGTGGATGCAGCTCCACTTCTAGCTGTTCCTCTGAATGAATCACAGTGTGACCTTGAGAAAGCTATGTCATCTTAATTTTCCATTTTCTTAGGAACACGGAGTGAATAAGGTAAATACATGGAACCAAAATGTATCTGCAGCCCAATGACCAGCTATATCCAAACACCAAACACTAGGTAGATAATTGTCATACAAAAATGGCTAAGCAAACTTGTACTCTGCACAGTAACAAAAATATCTGTGTGAAGAAATCAACAAAATTCAGATGCCACCAAATAGAGTTCCTTCAAGAGATCCAAATTTTAAATTTGAAGATACTAGCAAATTAAAATAATATCCAAAACCCAAGAACACTTTTTTAAAAGGAAACAAAACATCAACCTGTTTACAGTCCTATGATGTTTCAGGACTCCATTCAATTCTCTTTTGACAAGTTCTATTATGTCATTCTCTGCCACAGTGATAAGCATCTGTATCCTTGATAAACCCTGAGGAGCTTTCACTACTGATTGATTGCTAGATAGATGACAGACAGATAGGTAGGCAGAAAGACAGATGATAGAAGATAGATGATAGATAGATAGATGATTGATAGATGATAGATAGATAGATGATAGATAGATAGATAGATGATAGATGATAGATAGATGATAGACGATAGAAAGATGGTAGATAGATGATAGATGATAGATAGATAGATGATAGATAGATAGATAGATGATAGATGATAGATAGATGATAGATGGATGATAGATAGATGATAGATAGGCTGATTTGTTTGTAATACATTGTAATTTTTTCAGTGTTGAAGAAAACTCAGGGCCTCACACATGCTAGAAAACTGCTGTCCCACTCAGCTGTACCTCATACGCTCTACTCAGTAATATTTCCCTTTCTCCTAGTAAAATTTGGAAAGGCAGTACCATGGTTCAGTAGTCTGTGTGTAAGGATATAGCTCAGTGGGAAAGTGCCTGCCTAGCAAGTGACAGACTATGTTCTATTCTTAGCACAAAAAATAAAGCCAGTGTCCTGATCTTCCACCCTGGAAAGTTTTGTTTGTTGGTTCTTTAACTTGGGCATTGGGGAAATAGGACATCGAGTACTGAATTGAGCCCTTGTCATATCTATCCAGTTGGATACTTCATTATAATGATGATGATTACTCTTTATGGCCATCTTAATCTCAACATACTTTTTTGGGTTTTTTGGAATAATACTTGGAAAGAATGGAAAAATAAAATAAAATAAAATAAAATAATAAAATAAAATAAGATAAAATAATAAAATAAAACCAGGCTTGGTAGAGCACAAATGTTTTCCCAAGTAGTTGTGGACTAGAATCAGGAGGATCAGGAATTGGAGGTCATCCTCAGATATGTAGGGAGTTTGAGGCCAGCTTGAGCTACATGAGCCCCTATCTAAAAAATAAAATCAAAACAAAATGTTAGCAACTTTTCAATCATCCATAAATATGATCTATCTTGTGTGTGTGTGTGTATGTGTGTGTGTTTGTGTTTATAGTATATCTAATGGATCTAAGACTACAAACATTTCCTCGCATTGAATCAATACAATAAAGAAAAAAGAGGGAAGAAAATGAAAGAATAGTTCATAAAGTGAATAGAAGTTACTTTTAAGATTCTATTAAAACAAAATAAGTCACTCCGTAAATGAAAATAAAAATATACTCAATAAAGTATGTACTACAATATTAACAACATTTAAGAACATTGAAGAACTCTATCCTCCTGCCCCAGCCTTCCAAGGGTGGGGATTACAGGCAGGTGTTACACACACAGTTGATAGCTTATTTATTAAATTAAGAAAACAAGACCAGGGAGATGGCTCCATGGTTAAAAAGACTTATTGCTCTTGCAGAAGACCCAGATCCAGTTTCTAGTACCCACATCAGGTGGTTCACAACTGCCTGTAACTCCAGTTCCAGGGAATCTGACACCTTCTGGTCTCCTTAGACATCTACACACTTGTGGTGTACATAAACTCATGCAGGCATGCACACATACATATGCATATGCATATATACATAAAAATAACATTTTTAAAAAATAAAATAATAGGACACAAAAATGTTTCAATTGCATTTAAAATTTTCAAGTATTTATCATAAACCTACAAAAATGGTTCTTTTTTTGTCCTATTCATCACATTTGAAAACTATTTTTCTTTCTATAATTATCTATGTTAAGTAAACAGGAAAAAAACTGATATTAGCAGTGAGCTCTTCAAATGTGGCCTTGGGACCTGTAAGAAGGGCTAAACACAGAATACTCTCTGATCGTTATCCTAGAAGCTAACTTTGGCTGTGAGTCTATCATTGTGAGTCCATCTATCACAACGCCAATGTATCAGTAGGGCCAGATGGGCTTCCACTTTCCCATCCTCACCACTTCTACATTCCAGTTTGTTCTCACTGACTTACAAAACAGGATGAAATTATCACATTCAGGCTACTCCAGAGACTACTGAGGCAAGAGGATCATAAGTTCATGGCCTGCCTGGGCAACCTAGTGACTCTGTCTCAAAACCAAAAGATTTTTTGTTTTATCTTTTATTTATGTATTTATTTATTTGAGATGGACTTTCCCAGTAGCCCCAGCTGACCTGGAACCTGCTATGTAGACCAGGTTGTTCTCATCTCACAGAGATTTGACTGCCTCTGCTTCCAAAGTGCTGGGATTAAAGGCAGGCACCACCATGTCCATCAAAACAAAAAATATTTTAAGAAGCTAAGGATATAACTAAGTGTTGCAAAACCTGCCTAGCAAGCACAGGGCCTGGGTTCAATCCTTAGTATCATAAATGAATAATAGATTACTAATAGTCTATTATTTATTCATTTCTAAGAGCATATATTAAAGAAGCTCGCCTTAGCAAACAGAACAGTCACTTTTCTGCACAAAGTACTTGTACCCAAATGATACATCCTATATACTACATACATATGCATACATCCACATATGTATGCATATGTATGTACATATATTAGAGGTGGTTGGTCAGGCACCAACTTTAGAATGTACTAGATTGGTGCCTTCAACACCAATCCTTGAGGACTATGCACAGTTCTGTTCTTTTAATATTGTGAAGACATGGAAAGCAATAAAATGATGGATGCCTGTGCTAACAAGACCTAAGAGGGGTTGATTATAAGTCTGCTGGGACCCTGAATGTTAGAGAACAGCAAATATAGGTGAGCACAGCGGTCCTTTGGACAGACGTCACTAAAATTGTTCCTTTTATCACCCTGTAAGAAATAGAGAACCAAGTACATCCAAAGGCTTTTCACTGAGGGGAGGAGACTGGCAGCCAAAGGATCTCAAAATAACAGGTCAGGGCATTTCGGGGCCTGGGGAGGGCCGAGTGGCAGCAGAAAGTCCTGATTGGCAGGCGACCTGCCACCCTGAGGTACAAGGCCGGACACGCTCACCTGTGAACACGTTCTGGAAGCCCTCAGCAGTCGCTGGCGCCCCAGATGCCTTGGCGGCCAGCGCCGGGGACCCTCCACTATTGTCGTCCACAGTGGCCCTGCGCCCCAGCGGGGGTCCGGAGCCTCCCTTTCCAGGTGTGCGGACGCCCAGCTCCTCCGTCCAGTCCGCAGAGCGACTGAGGCCGCCGGCGAGGCCGCCCTCCAACCGGTGCTTCTTGGCGGGGCCCACGGCAGAGGCCAAGGCAGTTCTGGGGCTCCGGCTCACCGAGGGCTCCGGTCGCTTCTTAACCCTGGGGCTCTGGCTGGGGGACTGAGACGGGGAGTGATTGGGCGAGCTGAGCTGCCGGGTGGTGGTCTTGATGTAGCAGGGGGTGATGAGGGGATAAGGTTTGAAGCAGCGTGGACTGGGGGCCGGACTGCCAGGCAGGGAGGAATCTGCAGGGACCCCGGGGCCTCGGGTCCCCACCTCCAGCTGTTCGTCCAGCCTCTGCCCGGTTTCTCCCACTTCTGGGCCCCATTCGTCCCCCGGAGAGCCTCGGGGAGCATCCTCAAAAGCATCTTCCTCGCCCTCCTCATCCGTGTCCCCAGCGCCTGACACTGGGGCTCCGGCTGCGACCTCCGCTGGTCCAGCCTCAGGAAAGGCGAAGGCTGGGGATGAGAAAGAGTCTGTGGCTGCCGACTCCGCGGTTGCGAAACCGGGTGCCTCGGAGGCGAAACGTCCTCCAGGGGATGGAGGATGCTCAGGTACCGGGGACTTGGTGGTCTCAGACAAGTCGGAGTGCGCGGACAGTGCCTGTTCCGTGTCCTCGCTAGCCTGGCTGCTGGATCCCAGCAAGAACCGGTCCAGGCCCAGGAAGGCGCCGGGCTGAGGGGAGACAGCAGTGGGGGGCGCTGCAGGCTCCTCCTCGGAGTCCTGGAGCTGCAGCTTCTGCTGCTGCTGTTGCTGCAGGCGAATTGCCTGCTGTATATCTGAGAGCAAATCCTCTTGCTCCGTAGCCGAGTGGAAGCTATAGATGTCCGTGTCGGAGCCTGAACTGGTCCTTTGTCCATCCTGCGCTCCCACAGCGGTTTCCAAATCCTCCGCAATCGCCTGGGTCCCTACCCTAGCCGCAGCCGGCCTAGGACCATCTGGGTGGATCACCTCGAATGGGTCCGCAAGCTCGGTATCCGATAGGCCGGTCTCCTCCGCAGAGAGGCTGAGGTCTGGGGTCTTGGTGACTATGGAGTGAGCGCTGTCCAGCTCCCCGATCTGCAGGGCCTGTGAGTCCAGCACATCCTCCCGGGAATCGCTGGCTCCTTTTCCCTTGGTCAGGTTCTTTCTGATCCGCAGGTTGGAAAACACCGAGGCTCTAGAATCCGACTTGCTCTTCTTCTTGCTGGTCTCCCCGCCGCCCCCTCCCCCTTTGCCGTGCTTGCCCAGAGCCTTCTTGCTCCCGCTCCCCTTCTTTGTGGTTTCCGCATCCCTGGGCCCCACAGCATCCTCCGCTGCTCCGCCACCACCTTCGTGGGAGGCATCACCTGCGCTCCTCTTCAGCTTCCCATCCTGGTTCCCCATGCTGCAATACCGCTTCTGCGCCGCCGCGCCGGGGGGCACTCAGGCCATCTCCGCCCAGGAGAGGGCCAGGGAAGACTCCCGGACAAGTCCGGTAGCTGGGCCAGCCGTTGGGAGCGGAGGCCTAGGAGCGCCCAGCTGGCCCGGCTCACATCTGCTGCCGTTTTGCATAATGCGCGGTGGCTCTCCAGGCTGCTGTCTCTGCGGCTGTGGCTGCGGCCCTGGCTGGCGGGCACGAACATGCTCAGTTCAGCGCGCACTCCCCTCCAATGGCTGCACTAGACGCAGTCCTGGTCTGTTCCCCGCCCACCGCCGCCGCCCCCTCAGTGCCCTCTCCAGCTCCTCCAGCAACCTAGCAGAGTGAAAAACAATTCTATCTCTCTGACTTGATAATTTGGCGGGTGGAGCATGGGGGAGGGGTTCGTTCTATAGGCCAGACTGGCCTGGAACTTGTGACCCTCCTGCTTCCACACCAGGTTATCCCTGGGAATTTAATCTTTGCCTTGCAAATAAAAATTGTTGCTCCCTCTCCAAAAGGTGAGGGTCCCATGGAACTTCAAAACTCAAGGACCTGCAAATAATAACACAAAAGTAATTAAATACTGGAAAGAATGGAAGTTCAATTCAAGATAAATGCCGGAATGTCACCATCACACACACACACACACACACACACACACACACACACACTCCTGCCTACTTCTGCATGGCTCTTCAACAATGTACTTGTTGAATGGATGGATTGTTTTGTTTCTTAAATACTGGATCATTTCCTTGAGCTGGCTAAGGTAATAAACCATGTTACTTAGGAAGTGTTCCTACCCCAGGGTCTGTGCCTGTTTGGCACACATCTTGTGACTCCAGAAACAGGACATTAGCTACCATTTCCATATTGAATTTATGGAACCTTTACAGACAGAAAAGAAGAAGGGAAGCTGGAAGTACTGTGATTAGAGTTGATTAAAATGCTAATCTCCAAAATTCTATGTGTTTACCATATAAATTAGATAGTATTTGTATTTAAAAAGGATGCATATATTATAACGCCCAGGAGGTCAAACTCATCAATATTAAACATAGCACAATTGTGGTCCTATATAAAAAGGAAAAAGAAAAGAAACAACCTTGGTACAAACACAGGAAATCAGATGTACTATAAACCACAACCACTTTCTCAAGCATATCTTTGTTCAGTATCCAGGCACACTTTGTCCAGTCCTGGGGTCCTAGGGCCTCCCAAGTTTCTGACCTCCGCATTAACATAAAGACTTTTCCTTATTAAAAAATTGTTGTCTTTGTTAATGACTTACTAAACTAGCTTTAAAATAGTTTTAATGGTTTAAATTTAAAATTAGTTTTAAATGGTTTTAAATTTTATGAAAATAATTGTTAAAATGTTTTTAAACAGCACAAGCATTGAAAAAAGCTGCAAATAGTAAACTAAGATTAAAGTAGCATCTATCAAAAAATGTTAATCTTTGTTGGAAAAGCAGATATAGTGATTGCTGCACCTTCTCAAACTACAGATCTTTAAAATAAATGTACCATCTGGGTAGGTAGATTGTTGTCTGTAAATGGTTTGAAGAAATCAACTTTAATAATTTTGCCAGACAAATATCCCTGTCTAAGGCATTCCTGAGCGCTTGAAAAGCCTTTGTTTTACCTCTTTCATTAGACTGCTCTCCTCTTTTTTCTAGAATCCAGGCTCCCCAGAGGGGACAATTTGCCAGAGGGCCATTAGAATTTTCTGCTTCTTTGAATGCTGAAGTACTTTGAATCTTGATTTTTGCTTTTTCTCAAACAGAACATCTTACTCCTGAACTCTGTTTCCTTCCGTGATATACTCAGGAAGCTCGGAGGACAAAAGGGAAGGATGGAGAATGGGAAAAAAGGGAGGGAGAAAACAGACTTTTTTCAAATCCTTTCAATGTGAAAGAATGAGTAGCAGTTGTGCAGCATCAGAATTGACAAAGCTCTATTATAAGGGTGAAAAGCTGAAAGGAGAAATGCTAGGGATGCGGAAGGGGAATGGGAAAGTGAGGAGAGGGAATAATAAAGAATAATGGGGTGAATATGATCAGAGCGTCAGCTGCAGCAGCAGACACAGCCCAGCACTGCCTCCTTCAGGGACCTCCTTGCTGGTAAAGCCTGGGCCTTAGAAAAGAGTTTCAGGACAAGTCTGAGTGAAGTGCTTAGCCAGTTTATTAAGTAGAGACAAGAAACACTAGTTACTTTGGGAAGTTGTGCTTGGAGAGGGAGTCAGACAGACAGGAGTTCCCACTATAGACAAGGATGTAGGCATCTTGAGACACACACATACCACTGAATTACATCACAACCCCTCTGTTTGCCATCTTTTTTTTCCTCTCTCTCTTTTGTTCTTTTTTTTTTTTTGAGAGAGAGAGGGGTAGCCCAGGTTAGCCTTGAACTCACTGTGTAGCTGAGGCTGGCCTTGAACCCTTCTGCCTTCACCTCCTCAGTGCTGGTATTATAGGCATGTGCTATTCCACCCAGCTTGATCTTAATTTTATCAGTTTTCTTAAAGTTTTTAATTCATAGTGAGTGGAAAATTCAAGACAGATCCTGGGGTGAGGATCTTCTTATGTCTCCTTAATTTTCCTTGTTTTTCAATATTGCTTCAAAAGTACCTTATATACACATATAATATCATAACAAAGTCCCTAACTTGGCACAATCAGCATATGTTCATAAGAAAAGAATGCTATCATAGGCAGAGGCTCTTGTATTTAAAACAAACACAGGAAATCAGATGTACTATAAACCACAACCTGTATGCAGGTAATGTATAATAATCAATTCATTAGCTCATTTGGGAGAGGCTATAGTATTTGTTTACAATCACATAGCACCAGAGACAATACTTGACTCTACAAACTTAGGTTCCCAAATTCCTTATAATAATAGCACCATACCTACTATTCTTTGGGGGATTGGTAAAGCTATCTCAAAGTATAAGATAAATTTGGTGAAAATCACATCTGGGTAAGATAACCCCAATAGACTGAATAGTTAGTATTACTGGTTGCAGAGAGATGGAATATTAGAGATCAAGAGCCAAAATTATCTTGGGTTATATCTAGTTTCATTGGAGTCATTTATCACCAGCCTCTGCATCTGACCTAATATCGATTTGATTGTTGCAAAACTGTTTGCACTGTTGAAATTTGTCCTTTTAATGGGTGGATATGACAGATAAGAGGAAATAACTAACACAAAGAATGCTTAAAAAAAAACATATGGAGACTTACTATATCTTAAGCTGCTATACTATAACGCATATATATGAGTATCATTGTAATTACCTGCCAGAAATTATAGGTTGCCAAATAAAAAGCCCCCTGCCAAGTATGGGATTCCTCATGTCCAGCTGTTTTCCAGGTCTGTCCTGGACACCGCCCAAACTGTAGGAATGACTTCCACAACATGGGCACACTCTGGACAAATGATCTTTACATAACCTTACAACTAAAAAGTTAATTTTATGTTTTAAGATCATTTGACACTATTTCAACTTGCTCTATAATGTAAAACAAGCTTACCAGGCTCTTTTTGTAACATAAAAATATTGGTTTAATCTCCCATGACCACCCTCGCCCTTGATCCAGAACACTGCATGAATGTGTATGTGAACATTTTGCATATCAAGCACTGAGATGAGGGAATTATCTCATTTGTGTTGCAAGCAGCAGGTAGGATTAAATTTATAGCATCTCTTTGTGCTTGTGTGTGATGTTATAGATCAGTAGGGGTCCAAAAGGCAATTTGTCTCTGATAAGGTGTCTACTTTTGCATTCCTATTTCATGCTGAATATATTATTTCAATAAAAAAGATCAAGGTCTTGGTACAAGGCACAGTTCTGGGAGAAATCTGAAGGAATAAGTTCTCAAGGCAGTTCAGATCCCCTCTTATCTAATGAATGCTAATAGTTAGGCTGTTTTTATTCAAGCATTCCCATTATGTAACACACAGCCTCACAAAAAATACAAGCTATCACCATTGTTCTTAGTTGCCCACCAGAACTTGGTGGTAATACCTTATTACTGAAGACACCACACACTTTAGTCACAGGACACATACAAATATGGCTAATACTGACTGGAAAGCTTCCTCCCTTGTTGCCTAGCTTTCATAATAACACAGTACCATAACATAGGGAAGAAAAATTGTCTAGAGTCTTACTCAGCTGTGAGCCTTGTGAGCTACAGTAATAACCAGCCTGATAACATATTCAGTGGGTGCAACAGAGGCCTGAATGTTATGGTGGTAACCAACTTTCTCATTGAATTTAAGACCTGCTCCACAGGAGGAAATGCATGCCTGGTACTGTCAATCTGGCCACAAATCCCAAGGATCCATACCTGGGAAGCTCTTAGACCCCAGAAGTGAACCTACTATTATAATTTTTCTAAATGAACACAGTATCCAACTGCCCCCTAAATTCTTTTCTCTCTGCCTATAGATTAGTGAAACTTTCAGACCTCATCAGAGAAATTTCTTTGTGTAGTAGATGGTGGTTAACACAGAAACTTACAACTGGTTTAAGCGCAAACAATAAGTGTCTATGAATTCAACTGGAAATGGGACATCTATATCACAGCCTCTTCAACTAAAGCTTAGGAAACATTGTAAACTTTTAAGAATCTGAGGTCAGGGAGGACTGAAGCAAAATAGTGGGTTTTTAGATGTGATATGACCACTGTACTCGTAAACTAAGCGGTTGCCTGCACAAGATCTGCACAAATTTCTCCAGTCAATAGTCTAGCGTGGAGGGGGAGGGGCTCACAAGCCCCCACTGATAGCAAGGAGCTATTGACAGTTGGTTACCAGGGAAGGAAGAGTCAGTTTTCTTTAAGGATGTAGCCCCTGGTAGGCTGGCCATGCTCTGGGTTCTGCCCCCGTGAGTATATGGGTAGCACAAAAGGTCCCAATGGATTATTTTATAAATGGATACAAAATTGGGGGTGTGAATCTGGGAAAATTAAAGAGTGAAAATGATCAAAAAATATTGTATGGATGTATTATTAAATTTTTCAAAGAATAAAAACATATAGAAAAGAAATATGCTGTTTGATATTGGAATACACTCTTAACACTTGGTTAATATGTATATTTTGCTAATGTGCTAGCAACTTGATTCCTTGCTGTTTCATATTTGTTGTATAGTAAGAAAATGTTTGAACAAAAGCAAATTCAAGCAATTGTCTCCTTTCAGTTTAAAATGGGTGGC